GACTAGAGTTTTCTTAACTGCTTAATCAAACGTTGTTTTAAGCTCATTATTGTTTGATCATTTTAAATTAGATCAAGCAACATGCAGTTAGAAGGCTATATGTGTAGAAAATAAAATTAGCAATAAAAATTAGCGTATGTTTAGCATGAACTAAATTAGAATCTAATGAATTGATTTAAAGACTTCATCAGAGATAATGTAGAAGCAATTTTAAAAATTCTTTAGATTATATTCAGATATATAAGAATTGAAGATAGGTATCAAAATTCTTTGAGTATAGAAGGATTTTATATGATTGGCTGGAATAGGTTGATTGCTTAGAAAATTTTATTTATACAGTTTAAAGGCTCTTTGCGGGCTTAATATAGTGTCTTGCTGGAAAAAACATACCAATTTCTAGCTTCGAAGAAAATTAATATTCGCTATGTAAAATAATCAAAAAAAAACCGATGGAATTTATTTAGAAGGAAAAAGATTTACTGTTTATTAATATTAACTATATTGGCTATAATCTCAGAATGTGACATTATGCGTAAATTTAACCGTCTTTATGCAATACAAATTAAAGAATTAAGTCGCTAGATATGTAGGTTCAGGGCTAACGTTAAGTAAAAGATCGATACAGTAAATATTGAGGTCGTCTAGGGCCTTAAAAGATACAATCGCGCTCTCATACATAGTAGACACCTCCCACATAAGTACATCATATAAATATTTTTTTTATAAAAACATTTAATTTTTTTGAAAAAGCATATATAAGATAATTATCTATACATGCACATTCTCTATATAGGAAAGATTTCGATAGTGTATATAAAGACAATAAAAAAATTTTCACATTGTTTAATCGGTTTTATTGGTTAATACGTAATCATATTTTGATCAGCATAAATTAACAAAGGCTTCTTATACAAGTGGAAAACACAAGTTTTACCGCCCGTGTTTGACTGGAAACAAGAAGATCAACATAAATTAGCAAATCATATGAAAGTTGTTTATGCAAGTGGAGAACACAACTTTTACCGCTTGTGTAACATAGATTAAATAAATACATATACCGTATCGCACTGATTAAAAGATCCCTTTGTATAATACTTCCATGTAAGATATCCGGATATTTAACATAGCATTTATTTTGATCGTAATTTTGAGAAGGAAATTACTTTCATTTATTAATATCTATTATTCGCGTCCATAAAATTTAATTCTATATTATTTTTATATAATATTATTCATAAATACTTTGGATGACCATGCCATTTTTAAATCAACGACAACAACGAGGCCGCTACGCGACTAATGCGTGTACTAATTGCCGAAAAAAACACATAAAGTGTTCCGAAGAAACTACTTGCAAGTATTGTACATCACACAACCTTAATTGTATTTACATTAAATCGTGTAAAAAACGTGGGCCGAAGACGGTTAATAGATCTGTTAACGTTTTTGAATGCAACTTCGATAAAGTCCCAAATATCGAGCATGAAAACACATTAACTCAATCTAGCGTACCCATTTCTCTCTGCCTCAACTATAATAATACCAATGATATTATGCGCAATAATAACGTACCAGTTAATTTTTTTGGCAACACATTTTCTTTACCTAATAATTTATCCCCTTATCCTTCTTCTATTGCTTCTAATTTAGATTATATATTCTGATGATTTGAAAATTAAGCTATCAATCACATCAAAATTATCTATATTTATATCTGTCCGGCTTTTATTTGTTTTTTTTTTCCTTTAAAAAATAAAATCGTTTTATTTATCGATATATTTGTTAAAAAAAAAAAAAGAAGAAAGAACAATGAAAGACCCAAAATACTGAATACTCTTTTTATGTTTATAAATTTAATTACAAAAAAGATCTGGCTAGAAAATAAAAGCCATTAAAAAAAGGAAAAATACTTAATTTATTTGAAAAATAATGTCATTATAGGAAGACATTTATCTGAATGACTGATTTTTACAGATCTACCATTGCGTCATAGGAAAATATTCATATAATTGATTGATTTTTGTAGATTACACGTGATTACCCGTAATAATCAACCAATCAAATTAAAAAATTATCTTTTAATACTATTAGAAAACTCATATAAAGAAGCTTACAAACAAGTAAATATACGCAAATTTGTTTAAGTTGATATTAAACTGATTTGTTGATTAATATCCCAGCATTTTTATAACTGGGCCAGGGCGTAGTACACTCCCCGATATTGATCACCGGAATGAAGATCTTTTCTATAATAAAACATAAGGTAGATGTATTATGATCTACTAAAATAATTTTGGTACCATACCATTCGTCCTGATGAGACGAATCGAATGGTACCAAAATCATTTAATTTTGATCGATGTGTCATGTATTATTAGCTATGATACATTAAATCTAGCTGCCGCAACAAAATTGGACCGGCAGATTCTCGATTTTGATTGGCTAAGAGCGACGATCAAAAAAGTAGGCCGGAATTATTCATAATTTTACTAATGAAATCATAGCCGCCTATTAAGTGAAAATTGTTCCTGTGCCAATTTTACCATTACGCGGGCTTATTTTTAAAAATTTCTATTTTTGTAATGAAAAAATTAAAAAGTTAATTCCGGCCAGAAACAATTTTGTAATATGGGCCAAAATTTTGAAGATCCTCGGCCTTTAGCCAATCAAAATCGAGGATTTGCCGGTCCAATTTTGTTGCGCCATAATACTTATATCTATCTTAAAAATTTTTACGCTATATAAAAAATTAAAATTTGTAATTTTTTTTTTTTCAGTATTAAGATGAGGTCTTGCCTCATGACTTTTATTATTATTAATATGTACATATATATTATGTGATACATGTATATCTATTTTTACAAGTACATGAATGACTCAAACAGGTCTTGACTACTATCTGCAACCTAAACCTACTAGAGTATTCCATATTCTACATCATGTTTAACTACTATATTCTAATTTGTACATATTACTCTCTTCTATATTTGCTGCTCCTTTCATACTTATTATATATAATTCTCTTTTTTAATATCCTGTAAGAGGCCTCATAATTAATATAGTTACTCCTAAATTGGTACAGGTTACTCTGTCTTTCTATTTTAAGCATTTTTGTCTACTATAGATTCTGTATCAACTATTAGTATCAATGTTAATCCTTTTACTTAACAAGGTATTAACTAATAAGGCAGAGCTAGGGTTGGTAAACTAAAGTAATTCAATTAATATTATATATGTATTATATTATATACCTTGCCAATTCTTGATAACAGATATTTCTATATGTTGGTGTTATGTAAAAGTATGAGACTAATCATAACAAAGTTATTTCTAATAGTGTTTTTTATAAAACAGACTATTCAAATTGTTTTAAGTATTTCTCAAATATATTTGATATTTTTACAACTCAAATATATTAGATTATAAGGCTTTAGAAGTATAGATTTTATACACAACTCTTTCTGCTGATCATTAGTATCAAAATCATCTAAAAAAAACCAGATAGCTAAAGAAAAATCTAGATTAGAATACAGCCTATACAGTATTAAAAAAAAAAGAAGCATTAAAAATAAATACTAATTTTTTAAAAAAATTTAGCAAAAAACAAACCCAAAAAGCTTTAAAATTAGAAAACAATAGTTTTACAAGAATGGAAAACTGTTTTGCAAAAACTTTTAAAAAAATTGAAAATTTGCCCTAGACTCTGTAATAGATTTGTTTACATATACAAACACAAAACAGAAAAACAAACAAATACACATCCAGTTTAGACAAGAGAATAAAATCTTTATACATGGTTAAAATAAATAAACAAACAAGCAAGCATATAAACAAACTGCACAAACAAAACGCTATAACAATCTAGAACAAAATGCAAAGTTTGACAAAAAATGATAATCAAAAAACATTTAATAGTATAAACTAGTATAGCAAGTTGGATAAATATCAAAAGGTTTTTATAAAACCTAAAAATAAATTTAAAAAGCCTATGAACAGGAGATCTTAAGAATAGACAGAGAGCTAGCAGCCTTAACTGGAACAGAACTAGAAATTATATATATCTTTAGAAATATTATAGAAACCTTCAACTACTGTAAATATATCAGAGTAAAAAACCCATTAATAATGAGAATATTTTTATTAACTCAGAAGGCTCTAAAAATGCAGAAAACTTGAACTCAGATAGTCTGATAAGTAGCTTAATCAAACAAGAGTATGGTCAAACAGACTATAATATAGAAGAGTTTAGAAGCAGAAATGAGCAAGGAAAAAGAAAAACTAAACAAACAACTAATATATTTAAAAAACCAACAGTATGAATTTAACTGATAATACAAAAAATGACACAACTATTCAAAACAGATATTATGAAACTAAGAAGAAGACAAGTAAAGCAAAAAAGCATACTATGAGCAATATTAGCCCTAGGTACTATAAGGAGATTACAGGTAAAAGTAATATCTACAGCTCACTTTGGACTCCAAAAGAGATCAAAGAACATAGACAAGAAATGAATAAAAGGCCTAGAAAAATCAACATTACAGTATGGGACATCCCAAATAAAACAAGAGCCAACCAAATTAGAAGATATCTTGAATACTATGAAAGAGCAACAGTTTTAAGCTTTATAGCAAATAGCAAAAATAAAGCAGCCTTTATTGCAGTAGAACCAAAAGACAAAAGGAAAAAAGAGATTTAAAGAAATAATCAAAGATGTGTTTAAATTAGCAATAGAGTCAGCTTTTCTAAGACAGATTAAAAATACAAAAGCCAAGGCAGTGTATATTTCCAAAAACAGAAATAGAAATTAATGCCAAATAGCAAGTGTGTATTTTGCTTGTGAAAAAGATAAACAGATAGCATGCGAATATCCTATATATAACTATAATACAAAATTAAACTGGGTGATTAAAAACAAAGAAAAACAAGAGCTTAAAACAGAAACTTTTATTCAAGAGACAGAAAAGACAAGGCAGTAGAATGTATAGCAAAAAGTAAAAAAAATATATTTGCATTTGAGCAAGAACAAAATTTTTTAAAATATGAGAAAAAAACTTTGCATAAAATAAGAGAAGAAGGTATAACAGAGTACAAGATGCAAACAGTACACAAGACTCTAAACAACAAGACCTATATTAGCAAAAAAATAGAAAATCCTTAACAAACAAACTAGATATAATAGATATTAGAAATATAAAAAACAATATAGTTAGAGTGTACAAAAAAGAAAATAAGAAAATAAAGAACTTTCTGAATCAGATTTTGTATAGGATTAAAAATCTAAAAATAAAACAAGAACAACAAAAAGACAATATTGAGGATAAGACCCAAATTGCTTCTAAAATTAGTCTTGGATATCTATAAGAGCCAAAGCAGAATAGAAGACCGAATAAAGATATAAACAATTCTCTACAAAACAATACAACAAGTTTAGAAAGTTAAATATTGGGTATTACAATATTAATGAGCTCAAAGCAAATAAAGGAAGATTCGATTTATTTATAAATTTTGTAGAAAGAAAAAAAATTGATATCATAAGGATTGAAGAAACAAACATCTTCAAAAATGAAAGTGTATTACTTACCAAAAAATACAAAAGATATCAGGGTTTTTGGACAATGGCAGATAAGCAAAAACACAAAGGTTTAAGAATAAAAATTATTATAGAAAAAAGATAGAAAAACTATGTATCCAGAGTAAAAAGTATTAATCTGTATACTCTAGAACTAAGACTTGATTTTAAAAAACTAAAACTATATATTATCACACTTTATATAGCACCAAATAATCTTGAGATACAAAAAGAAATATCTAAATATCTAAAAGAAAGACTAAACTTGCAAGATTACAAACCTAGTAATTATGTAATATTAGAAGATTTCAATATAAATATATCACCAGAAGAAAATAACAAAGTAAAAAAAAAAGAAAAAGCATTATCATGAAAGCAAAAAAGTAAAAAGAAACAAATCTTAGATCTTCTTGTTAAAAAAATTTGGTTGATGCACTCAAGATAGTGAATCCTCAAAAACATATAACAACTTGGTCTAGTAGAGGTAGCAAAACACAAATTGATTATATATGAGTATCTCAAGGCTGGAGTAGAAATATAATTATAGGCAAAGTATATGAAGCTAAGTATATAACAGCAAGTGATCACAAGCTGTTACTAGCTAATATAGAAACAGGTCTACAAGAGAGAAAAATATCCTTCACAAGACTTCACAAAAAAGACCAGGCCAAGATCTGTATAGATCTAAAAAAATAACAAAAGAGAACTAGAACAACTATAAAGAAAAGCTAGAAAAAGAACTGAAAAAACTCTTTTTAAAAAAAGAAGAAAGCAAAGAATCTCAATAACTATCAAACAAAATAGATTTTTAAAAAAGCACTTATAATTAGTAAATTAAATTATTTAATATAATTCGAATTGTTTCGAAATAATTTTAAATATTTTGAAACAATTCGAAACTTATAAAACATATAAATTAAATAAAAAGGTTTTACTGGTCCATTGATGTTTCTTGTATAATA